AAAGTAAATATACAATAAGAATTTTTTCTAACTTATGTTCTTAAAATAAGTTAATTGTGTAATTAATATAATTTTTTTATTAAGTTATATAAAAAAAATAAAAAATTAATATTAATCTCAAAATCAATGACATCTCATCCAAGTTTCAGTCGCCACTACACTTTTCTCAATTTGTGGTACCCTGCAAAAACACCATCTTTTTCTCTGGATATTTTCGCACACTAAATTTCTTGCTTTTTAATCAAATTTATACTTTTATTCTCAACTCTATGGGGAACAAACGGTTCCACCACCGGATTTATTTTTGTTCTAAACTCTACCAGGTCCAAACGGTACCCCACCAGATTTCCTAAAACCAATCACCAAATAGTCGTGCCAGAAACCACCTGTTTAGCTTTTCACACTTTTAGTTCTAGTCTATGGAAGAAAACAAAAGGGATAATGATGTAACGAAATGAGGGCCATGGAATCCCCAACAAATAGAAAGCCTCTTCGGATCTCTTGCAACGGAAGTCATATTTTTTTCAAATCGCTTTCTAGTTCTGGCAGCTGTTTCTTGGTAGCCAGCAGATCGTTTATCTATTTGTCTTCTAGACTTCTAGTTATATCCATAAGTATGGTATCTGGTTGGAATTCACACTTGCCCTATGTATATAATAACGCATATTTATTCTCTTCTTATATTGGCCAAGTATTCCTTATTTACTTTAAAAAAAAATGATTGATACATATTTAATTCATCCAAGTGTATAGGTAATCTCTTTTGTAATAAGGCAGTAGCTCTCATGCCGCAATTATTCTTTCGTTAAGTTGTTTAGAAACTTTAATTAGTCCTAAAGACATCACAATTTTTAATTTGATATTCAACCAATTGTGGAGTGATGGAATTTGAAACTAGGATCTCTCAAGCCTTACCCGTCCTTTAACAACTGAAATAAAGCCTCATTGGTGTTTGAATCTTTAAAATATCTTTACAACATATACAAATAATAATGGAGATACCATGTTTAGACCGACCTTCCAGGCTTCTAAGCAAATTTACACACACCTGTGCAGAAGAGCTGGAATATAAAACTTTCCCCTGTTTTCTCATTCCTCAATTCTTTTTCAGAAGCCCTATGTGATGATACCTAAAGTGGCAGAAGCCACGGTAGAAGCTACATCTATGTCCTGTTGGGTGTGGGGAGAAAAAGGTGTTTCGCCTCATATATCCCTTGTTCCCCATCTTGATTGCTCTGCACTCTGATCATCCTTTCCTGCCTCAGCTCTACGAAAATGGACATATAGTAGAGAGATAGCAACAATTCCAACGGGGATCCTTTCATATCGAGTTGCTAATATTTCAGCTTTAATAGAAAGGAAACTGCACAGCCCGCTCACTAGACCAAGATCAATCTCAGGTCGTAGTAAGTCCCAGATTGAGAGTGTCATGAGAAAAAACAGTCCAGCAAAGACAAAATTCAGCATAGATTCAGCATCATGGAACACTTTTGATAGGCCAAATGCAATGAACCATCCGGAAATAGCATTCACTGTTTCAATTATAGGTCCTTTTAACCTCAGACACCTCCATTTTCTAATCTCAGGAATATATTTGTTGAAATTAATCATCTGAAGCAAAACACCAGGCACGATACCAGCAAAGACCAATCTAAGATTCTCTTCCTGCGTACGGTTGTTGTCCCACATAACAAGTCCTATTACCATGAAGGACGAGAAGAGAATTGCAATAATAAATTTGTGCACGTTCGGTTGAATCGGTTTTGTTATCGAGTTGTCCAATTTTACCCAAAAACTCTTGATCAACTCAATGAGTGAAAATGCCATTTTCCTGCAGGGTAACAAACATATGATAACGCAATATAATATACTAGCGCATCCTCTACAAACCTAAAATATCCATCCTATCCTATCCCTTAATAGACACATCCATGCCCTGCCCTACCCTTTCCTTTGTACTTTCCCTGACAGATTCATCACAAAAGTACTTAAAAACAAGTTAAACATTGCGAGATATAAGTGCGTTGCATTTGATCGTAAATTAAACTTTCCGCAAGCGTTAGAGCTTGATCAAACACAACGAAAATTAAAACTTCGGTGTAAATCGATTTTTGCTCCTATATAGACGTATTTACTAGATAAGCCACCGGACGCTTAATATATTACAGGAAAAGAGGAATTCCTTAATAAAATCAATTTCAGAAAAATCATATACTAGTTTTTCAAGAACCTTTAATTGAAGAATGAAGATGGAAGCTCGATCTAAACTACAACGGAAGCCACTAAATCTAAGAAACTTTAATCAGATGTTTTCATAAACATCAAATTAATTAGTTTTTCAAGAACCTTTAAAGAAAGAAGATGGAAACTCTCAATTGAACTAGACATTAATGGAAGCCATATATGTAAGCAGTGGACAACACGGAAAAGGTTCAGCAAGCACCTAAAAACTCAATCAAATACTATAGAAACAGTTGTACGTACCTAGAGTGAAGAACCTTTCAAAGATGGAATTTGAACCGATATGCTTGCGTCGCCGGAGATCACCATATAAGACGGTCGGATTCGGGGACAGAGACGGAATGACAATTGTGATTTGGTGATCCCGTAATCACTCCGCCACTTTCAGAACCGTGCTGTCTTTGTGATCGGTTGAGAACTGCAAACCGCTTGCGAATGCACCACATTAGGTGTTTGCAGTTCTCAACTAGTGCTGTAGCGCCGGTGGACAACTTAATGTTGGATAATTCCGACTTATGTTTACGGTGTGAATATTGTTTTTTTCCTTTTTGTTTTTTTTTGCAAAAACGGTGTAGAAGAGTATTCTACTGCGTGGAATATTGACCAATCTAAAACTTTGCATTCAAGTCGGATGTTGACGCCTTGACGGAAAAATTACTTTACTTCCTTAGATGCTTTTTATACCATACCACAAGTCCAAACCTAAATCACCTAGTATTCGAATTGTGCTTTAAATCCAATGGTTGGACCCAAACCTTAAGTGATTGGGTGAGGTATCAGAGTTTCGGACTTTATCACCGTGAACTTCACCAAAAAACGGTCTGATAGCAGCGCGCTAAAGGGATGGAATGTTCACCCAATCTGGGGATGGAATCCTCAGTTGTTAGCCACTGATTCA